GGGACCTTAAGTTTTTCACGGGTTCAGCATTTTCCTCTTCTCGCATCCTTGGACATCTTGACTCCGGATGATCCTGACTATGCAAGGCTGAAGCTTGGCTGTTCAGAGTGTGCGCCAGATAGGTTTTCACAGAGTCGCTGGCGTTGTTGTTCCCTTGTTCGGGTTGCTTCTATTTTGGCCGAAGCCCTAAGCCCCATCTCCTAGACCGCAGGTTATGGTGTCCACCTGCTGCTTACTGTCCAAGTGCCGACTTGCACTGGCCAACCTTTCTAGTGTCTACGCGGGGCACAGTTCAGGGTTGAGTTCTCCGACATGCCTAAGCCCAACATTGGAGTACTACACTTTAATACTTTTTTTGATCCCTGGGTTCTTTTTATCATACCTTATACCTAACTAGGGCAAAGGTCCGTGTTTTTTCTTGCACCGATTTTTCGATGGGGAGAATGCGAGTCGAGCTTTGCATTTGTTCTGCTCGCTCTGATGCTGCCAGCAAGAAGATCGTTCTGAAGCTTGCCAACGGCAAACAATTCTAGTAGTGAGTGTGTTGAGAATGGGTCGCAAATGGATTATTTCAAGTTGCCATGATGAGAACCGTCTTTGATGTGAAGCTGCATCGACCCTCGGGGTCGAGAACATTTGATGGGCTTGTACAAGTGGGGCAAGCCTTCCGAGCCTTCTGATTTTGAGTTGGCCGTATCTAGAGGCTTGCAGCCACGCTACCCATTTTTGTGGGTCTTGCAGCTGATAGTCCAGCATCGTCTACGCAAAAGATTACTTAGGCCCAGAAAATTAAGTGGCAGGCTGTACAGCTCTTCTGTTGATGGTCGAGCCAGGAATCACAGTAGATTGAGGGCTCTATGGGGTTGCCAGATTCTTTCCATCCGCCATATGTAGCAGTCGAGGCAGAAAGTTGCAGAGACCATTCTTTACAATCCCATTCCTGGCAATGGAAACCTACTGGACTACGAGCTGGTCAAGACCCGAAGCTTGGCAAGAACTTGGGTCTCTAGGTCTAAGGTGGAGGGTTTTGGATTCATTGTGACAGGCTTATGGAAATCTTGACTTTGGGGCTTGGGTTTCTTTTTGGTTTGAAGCCTGCGCTGCTGAAATGGCAGACATGGTAGGCCGGCCACAAACACTTCACCTCAAGTCCCTGAAACCCTAAACCCTCAAACCCTCAACCCTCAAACCCTAAACCCTCAAACCCTAAACCCTAAACCCTAAAACCCTAAACCCTAAAACCTTAAACCCTAAAACCCTAAGCCTTAAAACCCTAAGCTAAAGAACAAGAGCCGTACATCAGCCAGCCTTCTCCCAGAGCAAGCTTCATGCTGCTCCGAGAGCACCTCTCTTGCTGATCCATCGCTGGTTTGCCCTGTTTGCCTTGCAAGTTGCTCTTCCGCTTTGTTCTCTGCAGGGCTAAGTTCGATATTCTGAGCCCTCCCTGGCTCCCCCTTAGGGTCTAGGGTTTAGGGTTCAGGGTTTAGGGTTTAGGGCTTAACTTCGGGTTCCTCGAAACTTGTATTGTCCTTGCTTTTGGTGTTCTTGTATCAATCCCGTTAAACATTCGCACGCAGGATTCCGGGATCTGTTTAGGGGCTGTTCTGGCCTCGTGGTTGCATGGAATATCGATAATGGATTGAGAGGGCTGAATGTGGGTTCAAGGGTCAAGATGAGCAGGCTTCGGGCATTTGGCCCCCTTCCATGATGACGCTCCAGAAGACCAACATGCGTGGGGCGGCAAAACTTGTGCCCCCACCTGTGTTCTCATCGCGAGTTCGGGACAGAATCCAACGCTCGTGTTTTCAAGTTTGAGAGCTTTCATCGCATATGGGGTGGCAACGCCAATCGTTGTGGCAACTCGCTATTCCTTCGGGAAGCTGTTTGTCAGTTCAGGATAGAATCTGATGCCCAACAGCCAAAACACCATTCGACTCCTGCATGACGTATTTGTTGAAGTAGGACCTGTGAAGACCCTGCCGTACCACACCCAAGTTAAATCCGAGTTCAGGGTATTGGTGGACCCTACCTGGCGTCAGATCCATGTCGCCAAATGGAGAACTCACCTTGAATGGCTTGATGAAGGCCAATGGAGTGTGTCCCGAATGGAGTCTAGGTTGCAAGTCTTAGCCGCTGACGTGTTTAGCTTGATATTCAAGATACAGAGATCTTCAGCATGTATGTATGTTTGATCTTTTCGGGAGTGTTGCTGCAAACGTGGAGTGCGGTGCCGACATGAACCCTCCACTTGCAATTCTGAGGAACAACGGAAGTTTCCTAGAGACCTGCACTGTTCCGGAATCGTGGAGCCTGGCATCACAAGATCCATTTTGGGTGTTTTCACGTAGAACCCCAAACCCTAAATCCTGGTTTCCTGATACATGAACCCCCCGGTTTTTTCCAACAATGCTGCATTTGGCTGTGGCCTGAATCAGGTTGAGGTTTGGAACATGAAGCAGCGCAATTTACAACAGCGAAGAGATCAATTTAGTTCAGATTCCGCCACATCAGCAAGCTTATCAAACGTCTCAATATCAAAGGGTTTGGGCGACTAGATCCCGAGTTTGATGCAGAAACTGGTTAGACTAGTTTGATTAACCCAACTATGACATTTGCAGGCCAATCTAGGATATACTTGTAACTTAGGGAGGGTTACCTTGTCATCAGACTGGGGCCAGGCCAAATCCAAATTCCAAGAATTTCAAAATTCCGAAGGTTTCACAAATTCTCAAATTCAAAATTCCCAAATGTTCCAACAATTTAGGTCCACAAATTCAAACGATTTGGAATATTCCAAGAACGGACGCCCGATTCCAAAATCCCAGGAGATCATGCTTCCCGCTTTGGTGTTTTTGTCTTTGTGGAAGTTCGTTTGAACAGTTCTCGAACTTCTGCAATTTGGAACTCCGAAAACCCCACGACATTGTTGTGCAGTTTTCGGTTGTTAGGAATGTTGGATCACGTTATTATGTTAAGCGGCTGGTCCTAACGCGCGGGGGGGGAGGGGGGAGGGTTAACATTTTTACAAGGGTGATTTCGGTTCTAGGTTTTCAGGTCTTACACATGTCACGCCTCATCCTCGCATGTCAAAGAAAGACAAGCAAGGAGCTTTGTGGTGGGCCAGGGTCAGTCCGCAACATGTCAGTGGGGAAACTCGCTTTTCCCTCCCGCATCACTACTGCAGGCCAACGGCAATGCATCCGGGCCATTTTTGGTCAGGATTTAGGGTTTAGGGTTTTAAGTTTGATCAAAGAAGTAGCTAAAGATGTTTATTGCGGATGGCATTCAGGAGCTAGCACGTGCCGAAAAGCTAGGCCTTCCCAAAAGTATGCAAGGTATGCGATGTCGCCTTGAAGTGTCAAACCTGCAACCTCAAGCACGACTTCGGCAATTGCTTTTCGATTCTCAAGGCTAGCGATCCTGAATATGCAAGCGCTTATTAGCCGCTGGGTCATGTACGCATGTGGCATGGCCAAAAGTGGTAGTTTCCCAAAATGAGGGGACTCCAACATAGACCCAAAAATATGAAAATGCTTATCATAGAGACCCCCCAAAATGGTACCCCTAATTTCGGGAAACCCGCAAGTAGCTCGTTCCATTATTTCACTAGGGTTGCCGTTTTTCATTGCCCGTAAGCGTTATATAATCCTTATAACCCTCATAAGGCCTGAAGAAAAGTAATTTCTTTCCCAAACCTGCCCTAGCTCAGAGTTTCTGATTCGGTTTAGGGTTTAGGGTTTCCCATTGCAACCCTTCAGCTTGTGCATATCTGGAGAGAAGCAAAACATTCACTCCAGTTGTCCTGGATCGGAGAAAGGTGAAAAGTCCTGCCAGTGGCCTTTCCCGCACACCGCACTCTCAGTGATATTGTACAAGTCCGAGGAATTAGTTGCCACGGTTGCCCCCCCTATAGGAGAATAATATGACATACCCGCAAACTTTGTTCTATTCCAATCGGGCCCTACTGTAGGTTTATGCTATCTATTTAAACCTAAACCTTATACCCTAAACCCTAAACGTCGGCAAAGGCTTTGTCGCGGGCTACAGACCAAGAAGCACTGGTACGTTCCTCGATAAAGTAGATCCTGAAGTAAAGTAGGGAGAAGTTCTTAGGGAACCCTTTCCTAGATCCTCCCATCGGTCTTCACAAGCCCTAGTCGGGCAATGCCCAAACAGGGCAACATACACTTGCATTCATTGAAATTTGCTTTTGCCCGTGATCCCACCCTCGAAAAAAAAACCAAATAACAATAGAAATTCTTTAAAAGCTACCCTCTAGTAGTCTTTACACGATTCTTGTCGCGGTTTCATGCTAGCCTCTGGGCGGGTATGGAGCCTCATCGCGAAAGGCTTTCTGTAGGCCGAGTCTCGTCCTGGTCCTTAGTACAGAATAGAGGAGCAGATTCCTGAATAGGGTTTAGGGTTTAGGGTTTAGGCTTCCCAAAATTAGCAGTAGCTGTTTGGGGACCGCATATTAAGGAATTATCACTTTTTGGGGTTTATACTGGGTGTCTTTTTTTGGAAATTATCAAGTCAGACCCTACAACACTGAACCCTGAACCCTGAACCCTAATGACATGGTAGTTGTAATTTCTGGGTCCTGTGCCAAGTGTCTTTGCTTCATCTGCAGCGGGGTCAGGACGCTGTTGTATCCCCGTCATGGCATTTTGGCTTCAGTAGGTTTAGCCCGTCAGAGCTGCTTGCATCCAGATTTACAGCCTTTCACCAATAGCTTGACACTTTATATCTTATATGTGTAGGTTCTCATACATGATAGGTTTTGAAGATTGCTAGCAGGGTAATTAGTACAGAACGCCTAGAATGAAGAGGATGCACAGAAGCAGCTTAGTTTTCCTCAGTTGGCACTATATTCAACCATTCGAAGTAACTTCCCCAATACGGACTGTTGGAGCTACTGTAGGTGTCTGAACAACTTCAATTTCTAAATGTTCCCTTGTCTGATAGTCCTGATACATTTGCAGTACAGCATACTCCAAACTCCATTGCGATAAGCATTCAGGCTCCAAACGTATCCTTGCACCCGGATCCGCAGACCGTCAGGCAAACCCTAAACCCTAAACTCTAAATCTATCTTGCAACGCTGGTGCTTGATTCAAAAGCTGCGCTTCATCGCAATGACCTGCAGATGTTGTGGCGGTGGAGGACCCTTACACCCTAAACCCTAGACCCTCCAAGTTTTACTTGCCATAAATGTCTAAGTCAATGTCTCATGTTTGTTGTTTGGATTTACTTACTGGGGTCTAATGGAGAATGAGGGAATCTATTCTGCAGGGGTTATATTGAGAGCATGTTCTCTTATTCCCTACTAAGCTCCAGTAAGTTTAGGCTCCAAGGCTTGGGAGGTAATCCCAACCCCTGATTAATAAACCCCCTCCCCTTAATAGGGATTATAACAGGGATCCTAATATTTAAGCCCTTAAAAGGAGGGGGTTTATAAATCACGGGTCTGCGTTAGGTTTTCAGATTCGAGATTCTACCTTTTCACTTCACGGTTTGATTAGGTGTTTAAGGTTTGAAGTTATTTGACATGTATAGGGTTATTTGACACGTAAGTATTCATGACTGTAGAATTGACCGTGTTCAGCAGTGCTATCCAAACATGATTATGGGTCTGGGGTGGTTGGCAAACGCCTCTTAAGAGTCAACTCCAACAGAAATCGCTTGCCTGAACCCTAAACCCTAAAGCCCTTAAACCCTAAACATGTAGACCCCTATATAAATCCTAAAGACCCTTAAGCCCTTAACCCCCTAAACTACCCTTAAACCCTATTTTTCCGGATTGGAGGCTTCAGCTTCCGGTGATTGCCCCTGTCTGGTAGGAATGTCTGTTTCTAGGTGGGGTCATTCCCCCTTACAGTCACTGTTACCACAATGGGTTATAGGAGTTATAAGAACCCCCTTAACAAGGCCCCCTAAACCCTAAACCCTAAACCTTAAACCCTAAACCCTAAACCCTAAACCTTAAACCCTAAACCCTACACCCTAAACCCTAAACCCTTAACCCCTTAATAACCCCCTAACCCTAAACCCTAAGGCCAGTTACTGGGAGGGGGAATGACCCAAGGGATACCAGTGTTTAATTTTTAGCGTGTAGGGCTTAGGGTTCCCTACTCGGAGCCCTCAAGTCGACAAAACGTAGCTGTTTTGGGCGGTTTGGTTTAGGGTTAAGGTTTTAGGGTTTAGGGTTTAGGGTTATATAAGGTTTTAGGGTTTAGGGTTAAGGGTTAAGGGTTTAGGGTCAAGGGTTTAGGGTTAAGGGTGTAGGGTTAAGGGTTTAGGGCTTAGGGATCTTTAGGGTTTTGGCATTGAACCCAGATGTGTTGTTCAAACTTGATCCGTTGTGTGCGGTTGGGGTGCATGCTGCTGGGGCTAGATGTTGAATGTTGGAGCACTGCAGAAGTTGGGGTTTGTTCTAAAGGTTCTTGTAAAGAAGGGATCATTGAGAATACATTTCCTCAAAGCGGATCCTAATCAAATAGTAGTCTACACTTTGCCATTTTGGGGCGGGGACAGGTATTCTGAACAATTACCATTTGTGTTCAGAGGGGGCCGCGGGGGGCGGGGCACCGGCACCTAGAACCTCCAACGCTTCCGTGTTTAATGTTGCCCTTCCTCCTAGATTCCACAGTAGGTCTCATTCCCTTGAGTACCTGCAATTACAACAGAAGGGACCGTGGGTCCCAAATGGAGAGTCTCTAGGCAGACTTTACGGCAGGAGTATAATGGGAGCCCGAAAAAGGACCATGCGTTTGGCAACTTTTTTTTCGACCTGCTCACTCAGTCCCTGAGTAGTCCTTATGTAATCCTCCCATGACCTAATTCCAAAGCCCTAAGCCCCAGACCCCAGACCTTCGGCCCCAGGCCCTAACCCAAAACCCCCGCAACGCTAAACCATGAACGTCCAAGTAGCCAATAAGTCCGGTCTAGAGGTTCAGATGCCGTGTCTCCAATGCGCAGCGGCATGCTGCAGAGATGGTCTGAGGCCTCGGGACACAGGGGTTCTGGAGATTGAAGGCTTAACAAGATGCGGTGTAGGGTTTAGGGACTGTTCGTCGGTCTTGTTTTTGGTGTTTTGGGTGGGTCCTGATGCGTTGCGATGTCGGGCTTAAGGCTTTACGCATGGGATTCCCCCTAAAACCTGTAAACCTTAAACCGGCGTCGTGAAAACAACCTAAACCGACCTTCTTCTTCTTCTTCTTGAGAGGTTGAAGAAGGCAACTGTCTTCAGGATAATGCGGGAGGTTTAGGTATTGCATGTGCGTAATTTTAGAAACCGGAAGAGATATTTGGTCCTATACAATTCTAGTACAACTTAATGCCAACCTGGTTCTTATTACTTAGGCCCCTACATTACAATCCCGTCTCAGCTTCTATAGGATCTATAGTCTAAACTCCTAGTATCCCCTTTAATTGCCCCTATAGTAGTCCTCTTCCTAACCCCTAAAATAACACCCTCTCAGGAGTATAGGCCCTAACCCCTAAACTCTAAACCCTGAAGTGTCTACCTTGAACCCTTAACCCTAAACCCTGAACCCTAAAGCCTGAACCCTTTCTATATAAGCCCAGCCTTGGTTCCAGTTTTGCCATTCGATCCTCCACCATTCTAATTACTATGGCCCTAAACTCACCCCAAACGCTAAGCATGGGTAGCTTTGAAAATGCAGTTTAATCCTTGTTACCCTCAATCCCTGAAAAATCCTCATAGAGCCACAAAAAATCAAGTTTTACCGGGCCGCCAGAACTTACCCTAGTAAACCCTGCACCATATGCTTCGAAGCCCCGATAGCAGGTGAAGTTCAGCTTTCCTAAGCTTGCAACAAAAGTTCTACTTTAAGCTTCGGAGCCCAGCATGCTCTCCTTAATCATGAGCATCCTCCTTCATCGAATTGCTTTTCAGGGTCTGCTTTGTGATGATGACCCTACACCCTACCTACGACCTTCAACCCGCAAATCAGCTTAAACCCTAAAGCCCAAACCCTAAACCCTAAACCCTCGAATAGTAGGACCCTGAGTTCTCATATGTTTTCCAGTTCGTGGCTGCAAGGCGAAGACAATGCAAGTTAGAGTTCTAATCCAGACCCCTGATTAATAGCACCCCTCCCCTTAATGGGGATTCTAATAGGGGTCCTAATATTTAGGCCCTTAAAAGAAGTTTGTTTAAATCATGGGTCGACATTAGTAGCAACGTGCAGTAGAGGGGCCTGGCCGAACACATGCTTTGAGGGTTTTGGGCTTTTGGCCGGAGATAGGTGATATCTTTCAAGAGCTCCCTGTACGGAGACTACTTACATGCGGCTGTTCAATTTTTCTAGCAGTCTCACACCACGGCACTTGGTGACCCAATGCTTTGGGATGCGAAATCAAAGCCTACCTTGCAAAGCTACTATCATCCAGCCTCGTGCGATATAGAAGATTGACAAAA